GTCAGGCAAGTAAATAAAATAAATACAACTTTAAAAGAAAAAAATTAAACATATTGGATGTTTTGCAGCACTGTTTTGCAGGATCGACACATTAATCCTTTTCAGGAACCCCTTTTCGCCAGCTGACCCGCTGCTTGGTCGACCGACTGACTTCAATTTCGGAAGCCGAAGGCCTGCGCTGAAAGGCAATGATTGTTGTGTTGTTCTTTTAAATGAAAATCCTGGCCAGGCTCGGGGCTTGAGCCCGGGCCGGAGCTCGAAGGAGTTGCGACTGCGTTGCTCGCTTGGCCAGGGATTAGGGCGGATCAATTTGCTTGTGGTGCGAATGCAAATTGGCCAGCGGTATGATTTAAATGAGGCTCAGCACAAGCGTTCAAACAAAAGGCGGAAGAGGCGGCCGATTGAGTGCATATCCTGCTGTGCGCGCGGTCCAAGCCGGAACAACAAATGTCCTTTTATGCATTGGTTGTTGCTGTTGCTTTCGGCATGAGCTTTGCCCGGGCGCAGGTCGGGCCGAGCCTATAAAGGAAAATTAGGTTTACACCTACTTTTCCAATATGGTCATAAAACAATTTAGAGATTTACAAGGGATCAACTTATATGTGGTCCAGCCTATGCCTCTATCTCTCTTTCTCCCACTGTCTGTCCATCTCTTTCCATTTGCGTGTGCGCGGGCGTGTCTGTGTGTGGCGAGGCAAGGCGCGATGTCGCGCTGCCGTAAAAAGCAATCCACAATCCTCCTCAACTACTCATGAGCTACTCGAAAGTCCTTGGCACTCCACACATGTTTACTTTGGCTGCTTTCTGTGGGCGTGGGCGTGGGGCGAGGCTTTTCATTTTCGATGAAGTAATATACGCTGATAATATGAAAAATATCCTGCGGCCAGGATTTGCACGCACTTATTCCCTTTTAATGGACTCCAACCGACATTTCGGGCCAATATATTTTGCGCGTATATATATTTGCATATTTTTTGCCATCTCCATCGGATAATGCCCCATTTTTGTGTGTGTGATTGTGTGTGTATGTTTTCTTTTAGCTTCTTTTGTTTTTTTGTGCGATTGCCAACACTGCCATGACAACTCGCTTCAACGCTTCCCACACTCACAATGCGCAAATTGAAGCTGTGAATTGATCTTCTCTTTATAATGGAGCAGCTCTCGCATTGTACGTTGTTAATTACGTTGTTAATTAAATAGGTTAACTAAATGCAGTGCAAAGCTCTTTTGCTGTTTGGCGTCTTTCAACATTTCTGAATTACCTACATGCAATGATGGAATCCCAAAAGGGCAAAGGGCTGTCTTATCGGCAGCACAGCTCTTTACTTTACTGCATTAACCAACACTTAGGTTTTTAATTGAACAATTTTCAGGCTCTGCAAGTTTCTACTCTTACAACAATTTAGAAATAAACTTTTGCCTTTTTGTGTCATCCAACACTAGTTGCTGTTTGCACAGTTTTTATGCCCCGATATAATAATATATACATATTCTATATGTATTTTCATTTGAAAGTACAATAAGCTTGGGTTTTTACGTTAGCCAGCACTGGAATTCCACTTAGCTCTAGCTGATAAGCTTTACTTATATATAAATAGTACCTGAATAAATTTAGATCGTAACATGTTCTACTTAAAGTTATACCAAGTGTTATGCTAGTACTATCATTATGAAATCCTACTCAAGCGTTAACCAACACTTGGACACTTTAGCCATTCAGCAACACTCAAGGCACGGGCGTGCCAAGATGACAATTTGCCTTCACAAAAGGGTTTTGCAAATTGATCTAGTCCGCGGCTGAGCAGCAGGTACCGCTCAGCCCGTGGCGTGGGATTATAATTCTTGAGCACGGGATGAGCTGCAGCTTGGACGAGACTAGCCAAAAAAAAAGAGCAGGATAGAGCGGAACATCGTAAAAGGGTAGAGCCGTTTGCTGGGCTAGGGGTAGGCAAGTTAGTAACTCTCATTACTTTAAATGGATTTCAATTAAGTTGCAAATTGATCTCAAAACAATTGAGTCCCGTCGAGGCGTTTGAGTGCACTCAGTTTTGTGCTTTAACCACACCGCATCCTAAGCCAACCCGAGCGGCAATCCGAGCAGCAGCAGCAGCAGGACAAACACAATGGGACAAAAGGGCTGCTGCTTCTATTGCTGCTGCTGCCACTGATCCACTTGGTGGTTGTAGGCGGGCGACTGTTTTGCTCTTTTCATTGAGCATGGTAAGCGATACGCTCGCACCCGCAGCTGCCGATTGCTGGGGCAGCCACTTGATGAGGCGCATCCCCAAAGAGTCAGAGGCCGAGAGTCGTGACTGGCATCTTTCGCGCTCTGCGCCTGACGTTGACAGGATAACGAGATTTTCAAGTGGACGCGCTGCAGCCAACACTTCACACCCTTTTCGACTCGAGGCACTCCTCGTTACAGCTGACCCATCTGCAAACCTATATACATACATACATGCAGCTCCAATAACATATCTGTATATGCATCTGTACAGGGATATGCATCTAATCTGCGCCATTCCTTAAGGATTTTTCTCGCAATTAGTTGCAGGAAATTGAAAAGCAAGTAAAAAAGGCAGCGCAAAAAAGTGAGTGAAGCGATTTTCCAAGGACTTACACACGCTTTGTGCACCAGGATCGCCAGCAACAACAACAATGGCAACAGCAATCAAATGCGCATCAGCAAGCAGCAGAAAGTGCCCAGCCCAGAGCAGAGCAGAGCTCCCTGCCRGCCTCTGTTGCGGCTACAACGGGGCTTATCCCAGCTGAGCCTTGTTGCGATTTGAACGGTCAATTGAAAAGCGGCCAGAAAAACGATCGCTTTTCATAATGCCCATGTATGTAGAGAGAAACAAGAGAAAGAAAGAGAGAGAGCGACAACGAGAGCGACAGAGAGAGCAAATGAAAATAAACTGCAATTGATTGCAGTTGATGGAAAAACTGGTACAGGATCTGGTTTTGCTTTGGCTCAGTAGCTGCCATTGTTTTGCCATTGTTTTTTATGGCTGGCGCGGCAAATAGAGGCAACAAAACAGAACACAACAAGCAAAAGAACACAAAGCATGAGAGAGAGAGCGAGGGAGAGAGAGGGGAGTGGTACTGGGAGAGTGAGAAGAAAAGGCAAAAGTAGGGAGTAAGACTTTCTCTAAACGAACATATTCGACTGTCAAAATATCCTCTACTCAAATAAGCAGCCATGAAAATGATATTTATGATCTGTATCAATCGTTAATTATCGCTCTTGCCGATAGTCATTGATCGATTTATAATTTAAATTGTCTAAGAGAAAAAGTAATTTCACTGGTGTGATTACTGTACCGTTGAGTTTATAGAAAACAGATTTGTTTTTTCGTATGCTAGAGGAAAACCTACCTCATTGAGTCATTGACTTATTGGTGCTCCAAGTCCCATAAAAAGGGCTCTAAAACGTTTTGTGATCTTATATAATATGTATATCCATAAGTATGTATACCATATATGTATATACATATACTTATGTCACTACTGCGACTACTCTGGCCAAAAACTGGGTTAAATGGTTAGATGAACAGGTATCGATTTAGATTTGTTTATATATTTCTTAAAGCGCAGCTCTTTCCTTTCTTTTCTTATTTTGAAGCGTTGAGAACTTCTACTCGGATCACCTCTAGAACCAACGAAAAGAAACTATTAAATGAATTGAGTCTGTCGGAGATACATATGTTGAATAAAAACTAACCTAAAGTTCTTATATCAAACGATAGTCTTGATCTGCATGTGATATAGGATACTTATTAATTTATTAGTGATTTAAATTCCCATATAATTAAGATTAGCTTAAGAATTAAGCACTGGAACTGATATGGACTATATTATCATTTGAAATATATCATACATATCTCGTATCAAAATAAAGTGAGAGGATTATTATCTTTGTTTTATTATATCAGAATATATCATATTATTAATCCCATATCACAAATCGCAGATCTAACGAGTATATTAATGTTTAATATACATGAGGCACAACTAGAATAGGTGCAGCCCCTTTTCTTCTGCTCTAATCGCTTGATCAGAATCGCCCGTACCTCTCTCTGCATGTCATCCCCTTGCCCCCTTTACTAATGCTCTGCAATATATACAGGGTATAGAAACAACAAGATATCTAAAAGAGAGCAAGAGCTGGCAGTAGAACGTAGGCCTCGACAATTGTGAAAACAAACAAATGCAGCGCGATGAGAGCTGCGCCGTCTTGCGAGGCGCTCCAAGCTGCCTTTACCACAACCGTTACTGCTGCTACTCCCGCTGCTGCTGCTGCTGCTCGGGCTCTATTTTCTCTGGCATCTTTTGCAAGCCTTTTCTCGTTTGTCTGTTTGTTTGTTTGTTTGCATGTTTGTTTGCTCGCTTGCTGGCATAAAAAGTAGACTACTATTTGGCTTTGGCTGCCTTTGACAAAAGGTGCCTAGCACCCGATACAGGCCATACACAATGCCCCCCCAGCCCCGGGTATGAGTGCCGCCTCAGCC